GCAACAAAAAAAAAGCAGCTCCAGTATGCCACCACCATATAGCAGTTCACGCTACCTATAGAAAACAGAAAGCAAGAAAACAAAATTGTAATGATTTTCTTTCTCTATAAATGGGCATAAACCCCTGAATGAAACAAGGTACCAGAGACTCTCTCCTGAAGTTTGAAAGGTAATAAGAGAAAATTTTCCAGCAGTCATTTTTCTTTAGGGTTTTTTTTGAAACTAAAATAAAACTGTAACATTGTATTTTTTCTTATTTTTCGATTTTAATTCGAAAATCAAGCAAAACAAAAGCAAAAAATGAAATATAGAGAATAGAATAAATAAATTACCTTCGACCGGTCCTCATTTCGTAGATTTGAATGGTCAGAAGAGAGAAAGGAAGCCGACGATCCACATATTGCGAAATCACCTTGATCCAATGCCTGACGGAGTAGATAGGGCACCAAAAGTCGAAAGGCCATTGGACATTTTCGCGGTGTTAGACTCCAGATCTCACAAAACCTTGGCCCAATTTAAGAACCTGACATCGAGGCGAGAGTGCCCATAAAATTTGGGCCCAAACGACTGCCAGCGGTGGCAATGGTGCAGCTGCCGGCGGAGATCTGTGGCGGCGCTCATTGCCGGCTTCTGGAAAAGTTTTAGAGGAAGAGGAGAAAATCAAGGGTGAAGAGAGAGAGTGAAGCGAAAATGATAAAAAAGGGGATTTCACCTATGTATAGACACGCCAAAACGATGTTATTTTGGCACCTGCCCGAGCGCCCCAAATCGGCGTTATTTTTCTCACCCTTGTTGATGTGTGTTTTGGTCTTAGTGGTTTAATCCCTCCCATAATCCTCGCCTTTTCCTTCATTTATAATTTGGTCACTTATTTTATGATTAATTTCTTATTTATTTAGAATTTTGGTCCTTATTTCGTAATTTTTCTATTTTATGTTTCAATGCTAACTTTTAGTTTATTTTCTTTCAGGTCCTTTGATATTTCGCCTATTTTTATACTTTAGTCCCTTGTGATGCCTTTTCATTCTTATTTAAATCGTATGTTCTTATTATGATATTATGCATTTTTGTGAATATGTGATTATTTAGAACTAAAGTTTTGGTATATTTTCGGTCATGACCTTCAACATTAGCCTTTTTTTTGCATTGTAGTCTATATTTAAATTTCTTACGTTTCAGATTTTATCCTTTGACTTTACTAGTTTTCATTTTAGCCACTTGTTTGTGTTTTATTTATTTATTAATTAGCTATAATTTTTCATTCTCTTTCATTTTAGATTTTTTTTAAACTGCTCATTGTTTTTTTCTATTTTTTTATTTTTAATCCTACATTTTAGTATAATTTTTTACATTCTTTTGTGTTTTATTTATTTTTGAATTAGCTATAATTTATTTTATATTTTAAACTAGTCTTTTAATTTAGAGAATAATTCGAGTTGACCCTCGCCTAAATGCGCAAGGGACCATATCAATTATTCGAATCAATAACTCGTTAAAATCAAGTAGGATTAATATTAGAGCCTACATTTTTAGGTTTATGCCTCTAGGCTCTTTAATTATCATAATTTGACACGGTAAGCTAGAGAAAGCCTTAATATATCCTTAGTTTAATTAGGATTAATGAAAATTGATTTGATTGCATTTTATTTTAAAATTTAACGTAATGTTCACTTACTAGGGATTCGATAGTATATCTCACGCAAGTATGCTCAGGGCGAATTTTATTGGCATTAATAAACGAATACCCTTTTCAACTTTGCATCCGTAATGATTTTTAAATTAGATAAAGTACAAACTCAAAATTTTTAATTCTAAATATAGGGTAATCAACTAGGTACCAATTTTTGGGCGCTTGTGGGTGCTAATCCTTCCCCATGCGTAACTGACTCCCGAACCTTATTTCTGGATTTTTGCAGACCCTAAAACTTGGTATTTTGATAAAAATAAAATGTTTTATTAAAATAACCCATTTTTATTGTGTCCCAATCGCATCTTAAATGATTGGTGGCGACTCGTCACATTTCAAAAACCTTTCCAAAGAAAAACCCCTAAGTTGGTACTTGTGTTTTCCCCGCGCGAAAAATGGTGTTGACAACTTTGCGACTCTGCTGAGGAAATTTTGTTTTTAAAACAACTTGAGAGTTGAGCCACGAGTGGGTTACCCTATATTTAGGATTTTTGAAATTACGAGTTCGATCTTATTTAATACACAGTTAATTTTTTTGTTTCAAAAAAAGTGAAAAAAAAATTTCTCTCTGGTTAATGCTTACACTTATGTGAATATTTAGTATTGTTGCATATCATAGCTCTAAACCCGAGCTCAATTTTGGTTTATCTAAGTAGGGAGAAATGGCACACCTCATGAGGAGCATTGGGCTTCTTTGTGTGGGTCTGATAAAGTTATCTGGAAAGCATCATAAGTTGCATATCCGGATATCATATTCGAAATACGCTTTTAGTGGTGTGATCCTCTGAGCCAAATTTTATTTGCAAGTCTGTAATGGGCCAGAATCGAGGTCACCCTAGCAGGTTGTATTGATGGCTCGAGAGCCTTTGCTAGAACCCAACCATATGTAGAGAATTAACATAGGAGAACTAGACTGCATGCGACTAGGACTCTTAATTTCCTTTGTATGCTTTATTTTTCAGTCTCAACTTTAAGCAGTATTTAATTATTTTTGCTAAGATTACATTTCTTTTGACCAAACAGACACCAACAACAGTGGCGATACGGTGGCCGACGGAGATCGATGCTTTTTTATTCTTATTTAAATTGTATGTCCTTACTATGATATTTTACATTTTTGTGAATAGGTGATTATTTAGAACTAAAATTTTGGTATATTTTCGGTCATGACCTTCAACATTAGCCGTGTTTTTGTATTGTAGTCCTTATTTAAAGTTCTTACATTTCAGATTTTATCCTCTGACTTTACTAGTTTTCATTTTAGCCACTTGTTTGTTTTTTATTTATTTCTGAATTAGCTATAATTTTTCATTTTCTTTCATTTTTTATTTTTTTAACTGTTAACTTTTTTTTTCTATTTTTTTATTTTAATCCTACAGTTTAATATAATTTATTTTTAGTATCTACATTTAAGCCATTTAAGTGTGTGCATTTTTATATTTCGAATTTGGTATATCTTTCTGGTCATTTTTATTTTAGTCACCAGGTATGTTTTTTATTTAAAATTAATCACTGACTTTTTTTTGCATTTTAGCCGCTTTTTTATTAATTTATTTGATGTTTGATTCGACCTTGTGGTGACCCGATCCGAGGTATGATCCACATTATTATTGTCCAGATTCTATTAACTTCTAATTGTTAATTCTTTTTATTAATTTGTTTGAATTATTATTCGACCTTATGGTGACCCGATCAAGGCTACGATCCACATTATTATGGTCCGAACTCTATTAACTCCTAATTGTTAATTCTTTTTATTAATTTGTTTGAATTAATATATGAACTTGCTGTGACCCGATCCGTGGTACGACTCGCATTATTATGGTACAGACTCTATTAACAACTAATTTTTATTTATCTATTTATTTATTTATTTTATGTTCGAAATATCGTACGACCTTGCGACGACTCGCCTAGGGATGTGACTCTCATTATTTACGGTTCAGGTTAAATATTAAAACTAAATGTTAACATTTTATTTTTATTGCTATTTTATTTTTGTTATTTAATTTTATGGACATTTATATTTCTTCCCTTTAGTTTTTATTTATTTAATTTCATTATTTTAATTTACTATTTTTATTATCTGTTTTTACCCTTCTTTTTTTGTAAATTAATTTTAGTCCTTTTATATATTTTAATTGCCTTAATGTTTATATCCTTTTAATTTAGTCCTTGATGGATTCCTTTTTTTTAGATTTAGACCATAATCTTTTAATTATTTGATTCGTATTTAGTCATTAAATTAACAGAATTCTTAATTTGGTCCTCGCTTTTGCTCGAGGTTCCAATTTAATTATTTGAATTGTAAAATTTATTTAAATTAATATTAGAGCCTCTATTTTAGATTAGATTTCAAACTAGTCTTTTAATTTAGGGAATAATTCGAGTTGACCCTCGCCTAAATTCTAAAGGGAGCATGTCAATTATTTGATTCAATAATTGGTTAAATCAAGTAGGATTAATATTAGAGCCTGCATATTTAGGTTTATGCATATAGGTTCTTTACATAATTTGACATGGTAAACTAGAGAAAGCCTTAATATATCTTTAGTTTAATTAGGATTGATGAAAATTTATTTGATTGTATTTTATTTTAAGATTTAAGGCAATGTTCACTTATTAGGGATTCGATAGTATATCCCCCGCAAGTATGCTCAGGGGGTGACTAATGGTGATTCCTGAAATAGGTCGACATCCTTTTCAAGACCACATCATGATTTCTAAAATTAAGGTAATGTCTGGTAATTAGGTATAATAGCTTATGTCCCACATTTACGCTATGGATGAATTCTATTGGAATTAATAAATGAATACCCTTTTCAACTTTGCATCCTTAATGATTTTTAAATTAGATAAAGTTTGAACACAAAAGTTTTAATTCCAAATATAGGGTAATTAACTAGGTACCAATTTTTGGGCGCTTGTGGGGGTTCTAATCCTTCCCCACGCGTAACCGACTCCCAAACCTGATTTATGGATTTTTTGCAGACCCTAAAACTTGGTATTTTAATAAAAATAAAATGTTTTATTAAAATCGCCCAATTTTTATGGTGTTCCAATCGCACCTTAAATGATTGGTGGCGACTCCTCACATTTCAAAAACCTTTCCAAAGAAAAACCCCTAAGTCGGTACTTGTGGTTTCCCCCGCCTGGGTGAAAAATGGTGTTGACAAAGAAGAAGAAGGATCATTCCAAATGTGTGATTTCATATCCTATTTATAGATCGAAAAGTTAAAGCTCTAGCTAATAGATATATTCCACCATTATCATACTTTTTAGCCAATTTACAGTTGCCCTAACAGTTATCCTAATTCCATAAAATTCTATAATTGTCTGGTTACTCAGTAGTTGTTATTAGTGCTCAAGGATTCAACATAGCATCGCAACACAACATCACCTACAGCAGAACAATGCCACAACATCAACGTACCAGTTTTCAGCATTAAATGTCAAAATTAGCCGAAATTTCACCAACTAACTCCCATGACGCAAATGTTACAAAAATATGTACAAATGATCCTAATATGCTCCTAATAATGCTAAAGTTCAAGCTTAACATAGGTAAAAATATCCTAAATGATAACTCTTTTGGAGATTTATCAACATCATAAGGGAATGCCTTAAGATCCATAAGGTCTTACCCTAAGCCTATTAGGCCTAAGAGCCTACCCAAGGGCCACCTTAAGTTCATAAGGAATTACCAGCTTGATTGGAGCTGAACCTGCAGAGTCTTTATATCAAATTCAAAATAACCCAGTAATAAGAAATTTTCATATAGTGGCCAGTAATATCAGAAATCATTAATCATATATACTTTTGTATCAGAAACAGAAATCAAAGAGTGTACTTTCATTTCAAATAAAAGATTCATAGTTTTAAAATCATAGAAAATATTCAAACGCATATGGAACACACTAGAGGGTCCAATTATTTCTTGGAGATACTTGGTTGTTATCAAGAAAGGTAACACAGAGTTTCTATCAATTTTGAATTGATTTCAGAAATGAGATCCCTATTCAAAAAGGTTTGAAGGATAACGAATCTATCCAAAAATTTATAATAGATATATCAGAATCATTTAGTATTCAGATATATCAAAAGGGTATTCGGGAACTGTTACATCATAATTATTTAATATTCAAATTTTCTTGGAGTGATTCAATCAATCAAACTTACAAGGGCATTTTATTCATTTGGTTCCTAAGGAATTTTGGTAATTTAAATTAATAAAGATAAACATGGAATTATAGTATTCAATAATCTCTATCGACGTATCATCCTTTCAAGTCCAATTGATCTAAACATATCTCACTATTTCAATATTCACCAAGTATTCGGACAAATATATTTCACAAAATTGACTACATTATGTAGCTGGACAATTCATCTTCAGCAATCTTCATTGAACAGATCCGAGAAGACATATATGTATTTAGACAGTAATTGCCCATATTCTCGTATTGTAATAATAGCAAACATGGTCGACATACTAGGGTCATGCTCTAACATTTAGGGGAATATAACCTTTAACTTCATTAGTATTTCAATATTTATCAAATGCATTCATTTATTCCAAGTCGTAAAAGTATTTAAGTCATTTAGAACCTAGAGTGTATCTAGACATTTTGGAGCTCAATGGTATTTCAATTATTTTGAAGCTTTAGGTATTTTGGTCATTTTGGAGTTCAAAGATAATTTGGTCATTTTGGTGTTTAAGGATAATTTGGTCATTTTGGAGTTTAGGGGTATTTTAGTCATTTTGTTCAATTCAATCGTATGCACTACTTCCAGTAAATTTGTCTTCAGGTGTTTATTCAAGAAATTATAAATTTATTAGGTCAAATACAAATTTTCAGGTCAAATCAGATCTTTTTTACATCTCAATGGTATTTTTGTCATTTCCCATAAATTATATTCAGTCGTTAAATCTTTTGATATGATTTATCAGAGTTGAAGATTTTGAGGTCAACTATTTTATTAGTTAATAATTGAGCTTTAAATTTCCTATTAGTCATCAAATTCTGTTATACGAGTCACTCGAGTCTTAATCAGTTTATTATCCTTTTACAGTAATTAGAGTGGGTTTAAAATAATCGATTGTAACTATTATCTAAATCATATTCAATCATGCATTGACCAATTCCCAACATGTACAGTAAAGTATAAATAGGGTAGTAAAGTATTACCTCGATTTCTAAGCTACATTGGTCGGTCATTTAAACTTCATTTGATCATTCACGAACTTGAATTCGATGTCCCATAATCTCTCAAATATATAGAAAAATGAATTACATCAGAAAGGAAACTTAATCACAAAAATCAGATTGAATTGGAAGGTAAAACGCTGAAAATAGCTTACTATGTTCAAATTTGGCAAAAAAAACCCTCAAAAACAGACTCAGGACATCGCAAAACGTCAAATTAGGTGTTATTGAAAAAACCAACGGTCGGTCAACGACTGATCAAGGTTCAACGAAGGGTCAATGGCCAACACGGCTCGACTCAGCTTGGCACGAATCGACTCAATTTGGCATCACTCGGTTCGACTCAAGTGGCTCGGTTCAACTCAAATGGCTCAGTTTGGCTTGGCGGTTTAGACCAATTTAGCCAGTTTAGTTGGTTCATTCGGTTCATAAGACTTCCCTGGCTAGTAAATGACACGTACGTGCAGGAAGGATGTGTGCGACACGTGCAACGGGTACGACAATCAAACAACTACCAAAATTTCCAAAATCCATCATCGGGGAACTATGAGTCACTTACTCGTTTTATTTTACGATGAAGAATGACAGAGGATCAGTTTTTAAAATGGTAAAATTCATCATCGGGGAATAATGTACAAACTCGGATTAGTTCACCAAGCCTCCTCGTTAATGAGAAGGTTACCTTTGATTGCCTTCAACCAAATTACAGCATGAATCTTTGTAAAAAAACAAAAAATCCTCCACGGAGTTGCGTTTTCCCTTAAACACAAATTCATTATGCCCTAACCAAATACTCCACAACGCAGCCACAAAGGCTACCAAGCATAATTGTTTTACTTTGCAGTCGAGAGGAACTGCAAAAATTCAGTCAAACAAGCTATCAATATCATTAAAAACTCCCAGAGGTAAGTTCCACCACTCGATGAAGGATATCCACAAAAATCTTGAGAAATTGCAGCCCACAAAAAGGTGATAAACATCCTCCAATGCAACATCACACCATCCGCAAGAGAAATACATCCTTTCCACTTCAATACCCTGATTCTTGATGAAAACTTTTGTTGGCACTCTACGAATTATCAACATCCAAAGGAAATTTTTTACCTTTGGAGGGATGAGAAATTTCTATACCTTGTCAAAGTCAAATTTCGGATCCTCCACATCTGCATCAATAATTAGTTGTGATAATTTCTTAACCAAAAATATCAATCTTTGTCATGTTTCCAAACAATCCTATCACTTTTTTCCTCAACCGTCTTACAATCTTGAATAACGCCTTCAAAGTATCTACCATGTCCCATGCACAGTCAAGTAGTTCTCTACTAGAAGCCGATGACCAACCAAAACCACCTGCATCCTCACCACCAATCACCTATCCCATAACAACCCGTTCTTCTCTTGCTAGCCTGAAAAGTCTAGGAAAAGTGCATCTCAACGGTTTATCCCCACACCAAACGTCAATCCAAACAAGAATAAGTTCACCATCACCTACAACCCAATGAAAAGCATCTGATCTCATCCACCTACTCATGCTCTGCTTTGACCAATTCCTGATAATATCATTCCATACAATAGACATATTTTTGACATTGGAAGAATTTAGTAGCTCATTATCAGAGGGATTACCATACTTTGAGGAGATTACTCTGTGGCATAATGCTTTTTTCTCCACACCAAACCTCCATCCCCATTTGGCTTATAGAGCTTCATTCTTTTCTCTAAGATTTATCACCCCTTCTCCCCATTTAGAACGGGAAAGACACACCTTACTCTAACTTACCAGTACTAGTTTTTTTCTTCCCCGGTGAGCTACCCCACAGAAAATTCCTTCTGATGTTATCAAACTTCTATACCACCAGCTTTGTGACTTCGAAAAGGGACATGAAATACATGGGAAGAGTAGAAAGGATAGAATTAATTACAATCACTTTCCTAGCAAATGAGAGTGAGTTTCTCTTCCACCGAGCCAGCTTCACCTGGAACCATTCAATGATCGGATCCCATGTTTTAATTTTCCATGGGTCTGCCCTTAAAAAGAATACCCAAATATGAGAAAGGTAACAAACCCACCTTACATCCACAACATTTGGTAAAATCGGTAACAAAAGCATAATCCACATTTATTCCTACAATACATGATTTACTAAAGTTTATACTAAATACGAGAAAACCTCAAAACCTCAATATTCGTCTAACATTCACTAAAAACTACATTTTTGGTTTCACGAAAATAATTGTGTCGTTTACAAACTGTAAATGAGTAAATGACTGGCGGGGAATAACATTTTCAATGCCTTTGATCTCACCCAATATCTCTGCCTTTATAAATAAGCGATGTAGAACCTCTGTCATAATGATAAACATGAACGGTGACAACGAGACTCCTTGCTGGAGCCCTCTTCTTATTCGAAACTCCTTTGTAGGAGACCCATTAACTAACACTGAGATGCTAGCTGAGGATACACAAGCCCAAATCCATCTTCTCCATAACCTGCCGAATCCTAGGTTTTCCAAAACCATCATCAGGAATTCCCACCTCAAGCAGTCATATGCCTTAGAGAAGTCTAGCTTCAGCACAACTCCCCCATTCTCTGAACCAGCCTCAAACATAGAGTGAATAATCTCATTTTCTACCAGTATTCCATCTATTATTTGTCTTCCCGCAATGAATACACACTGAGTGTCACCGATCAACACATCCAATACGATCTTTAGCCATCTCGCTAACACTTTTGCCACAATTTTATAAATCGAGCCTATTAGGCTTATCGATCTATAACAGGACACCAAAGTCGGGTTTTGAATCTTTGGAATCAACATAATAAAAACGCATTAAGTTTCTCTGGTAGCTTGCCTGTTTTATGAAAAGTGATCATCAACCCCATAAGATTTTCTTTCAATTATTTTGAACATTTCTTTAAAAATGTAACTTAAATCCATCAGGCCCCAGAGCTTTTGATCCGTCACATGACCAAACTGCAGTTTTGATTTCCTCCATTGAGAATGGTAGTTCTAGTAATTCTACCTCTGAATGAGATAAGGTTTTGAAATTCAATTGAAAATTGGCTCCCCAGTCTCAGCTTTGGGAATCAAAGTGTCTCTTGAAATGTTCAAACAAGACCCATTTTAATTTTTTTGACTCGTTAATCCACTTATTTTTAATTCGCAAGCCAACAATCTTGTTTTTACAAGAGCAAAACTTCACTACTTTCTGAAAAAATAAAGTATTCGAGTCACCAAGAGCTTACCATCTAATACGTGATTTTTGTCTCCACGTCTCTTCTTGGACTCTTAACGCTTCCCACGACTCCTTGAAAATTTACAGCTTCAATTGATATTGGGCGCTTCCGGATACATTGCCCTTTTCTTCTAACTCGTTCCCTTTCCCCTCTAAATTCTTTACCTTTGAAATAAAATCTTCACCAGACTTCACATTCCAACTTTTCATCGCACATTCTTCTCATTTTCAACATCAAATCCGACATGTTCCCTATGTTTTTCCTGAGAGTTTCCTTTATCAACATTTTCCAGTCCGTTTTGTCGAGGAACCAATTGAAAAATTTAAATGGTTTAGGGCCCCAGTCCACATCGTCGGATACAAGTATTACCGACGCATGGTCTTACACAGTCCGTTTTAGACCAAATTGTTCAAAATTACCACCTCCGAGGAACCATTTCTTGTCTAATAGAAATCGATCCAGACTACAACTCCTGTTCGCCGGACCATACCATGTAAATTTTTTATCTCTCATCGTATGATCGACTAACATGCAATTGGCAATGACCTCATTGAATCCTTACACCCGACAATCGACCCCATGCCTCTACGTCTCTCGCTTCTACTCCGAACAACATTAAAATCTCCAGCAACTACCAACACATTTTGATCCATACTTCTCAAAATGCATAGTTCATTCCATAATTGGATTTGTTCTGAAACACAGTTCGGAGCATAAACACAAACGATTAAAATATTTAGAGCTAGGTTGATCCACTTACCCAATACACATATAAACCTCTGATTTGTTTGTGATTTTCCACCTCAAACAATATCTTGTTCCACACAACCGCTAGTTAGACAGTGTTTTTGGTTGATTTTTTAGACATGGGAAAATTATTTTTAGTCATTGGACTTTATGGTATTTACAAGATTAGTCTCTAAGCTTCAACTATAAATACTCTTACCCATTTAGCTTCAAAATCATCCCAAAATACCAAAATCTTCTAGTTCTCTCTTAAGTGTATTTTGTAAACACCTGTAAATTTTCTCTTTATTAAAATATCAGCAGTAGTTCGAAGACGTAGGCAAAATTGGCTGAACTCCGTTATCAATTTCGGGTATTATTTTTCCTCTTTTATTTCACGTTCTCACTAATCTGGTTATAGAAAAATTACTTGTACTCAGTTTATTTCCCAACAACATCTACCTCCATCCACGATTGATAAAGAAAAAACAAGTTTAAACAACCTCTAAAGCTGCCAGTTCTTTTAATATCGCAGATTCTTCTCCAATAATCTGGATGCACAATTTTTTCCCAAGCTTAGTGTTCTTTATGCCTCTTTCTTTTCTATTTGCCATTTTTTTCCCAATATCTAAGTTTAAACTCCAATGACTCTAGATCTTTTTCCTTTACCTTCTGTCTTTTCAGCACCTTACCTTTTTTTTCTCGATCAGATTTTGACAGAACAGTATCTTGCATGTTTAGCATCGATCCATACATTCCTATTCTCCTATTTTCCCCCACCCATACTTCAGTTCTCTAAAGAAACCTTGTGGGTCATCCTCGACAAAATATTGACTTTAGTCCATGCACATATCAGCACAAAACTAATTATTCATCAACCCATTAAAGTCTTCATCCCAAGAGGAAATAGTTGTGGGATGCTCATCCGTTAGAGCCTCTAATAAGCCCATTCTTATTAAATCCTCCACAACTTTTGAACCAAGGCTTTCCCGACCTACAATGGGCTCCAGAATGAAATACCAACTCCCCACGTGACTTCTCCTGATCAGCCACCTAAATATTCACTCCCGCCTATTCAGGTTTTGTAGGAGTTTCCTGGCCAACAATCATAGGGCCTTTAACAAGAGAACCTAAGTCTATGCCCCAACTTCTTTTGAGACACCCTCGTCATTATTTTCCTAGACATGTTCATTTCCAATACTCGCGTCATTAAATGCTTTCTCGTCCTCCATCGCCATTTTTTGGATAATCTCATTCCCTCTCTCCTTTCTTTTCGACTTCAGCTTCTCCGACGACGGGTCAACCGGGAACTGAGACGACGATTCATAATCAAGGTTTTCCTCGAATTCTTTATCCGTCTTCTTTGTCTTTGCATCAAACTTGGGTTTAATGTATGACTCATTTTTGAAACCAAACTCTACCACCCCCCTTCATACTTAAACTCACCAGCCATCACCTCTACTACTTAAAAATTATGTTACGTTGATTTGTTGGGATTAAAATTTTAGTCTTTTCGCAATCCTCACTATGATCCTAGTTACCCCCCAATGATTCAAACGTTCCCCATAAAGCTTCGAGATTCTTGAACTTTTTTTAATTCCATCAATGAAGGGGAAGTCCAGACACCTCCAACCATGTCGCCCTTCCCACTTGGTTTAGTGACTCCGACCAGGGTTTTATCTCTGAGAAAATTTCTCTCAAATATGACCATTGAAGATCATCCGGCAGTATATAAATGTCTTCATCCTCAAAAGTTAATACAAATGATTTTCCTCCCAACCTCTGGAACTTTATCTCTCCTAAACCCCACTTTTGCAATTCAGATTCAATATTGAAACAATATATATCGACATCATATCCCCAACCAGACACATTCTCAACTTCTATACCTCCTCATCTTCAACATGGCTAGTCATCATTTTCTTGCCAATAAGTAGTTGATCAGACATCACCTCGCTACTTGCAAATACTTGTGGCCTATTGTTTTCTGATGAGGCTTTCTTCCCTTCCGATGCTAATCTTCCATTTTTCGCTAAAGATATCGATATTCTACAATTGTTAATCATTTTCTCATCTAGATTCCCAATCATTCATCTTGCTTCAGGCATGCTATCTATTCTTACAAAAGCAAACCTGGTTCCCCTTTTGCTTTTCTTACTTGCAATGTAAACATTTAGAACTCTGCCCTGTCTTCCAAAAACCTGGCACAAGCCCTTCCAATGCAATTCCATTGGTAACTTATCTATGAAAAAGGTTACTACCTTATCCTTAGCATCCTTATTCCCCTTATTCTCGCCGTCAGCTACTGCCATCTTTAGTCTCCGTTCAACATGGTTACATTCAGCTTGACTCCGTCCAAGCACCGTACCATCTCCCATAACCGCTGCTACCATCTCCCTCCGTGGAGCCTTGTTTCCCTTATCTCTCTTGATATACAACCTTAGTGCTAAAAAGGAGTATTGTAAAAAAGGAAAGTGACTTTGGCTGAAGAAGAATGATAAGATTTATGTTGATTTTCTCTTATTTTGTTTACTGTATATATGGAAAGCATTTGCTACAAAGATATAATGCAATATGCCAATAAATGTTGGAAATTAGTTTTATAAAACATTGTTTAATGGAAATTTTGTTGACTAAAAATTAAGAGTTCTGATATACACAGTTGACTGTGTTACATCTAGCATTTTTAAGTTAACTGTCACATTTGTAAAATTAACGACCGCATAAATATAATAGCGATCAATGACATAAATTGTAAATCAAATGACTTAATCGATTAAATTTACTATATTAATGGCTTAATTTAGTACAAAAAATAGCGTCTTAATTGATTTTTTTACCTACAGATTGAGGGCTTAAACCATTTTCTATTGGAGTTTGTATTATATTATATTATATTTAATTTAACATGAATAATAAAGTGTTTAAAGTTTAGCTTACAAACAAAATAATGCACTTCAACAGAAAAAGATAAGGGGAGATGCTGAAATCTTAGCAACATAGCATCCAGTTCAGATCGTGTTAATTTCGGTGTAATGTACAAGATTACACTAACAATTTCGTGGAAAATGTTGAATTGCTTCCTATTGGGTTCGTTACTTGTTATTTTGCCTGCCAAAGGCCCAAAACCACTGCTTTGTCACAGTCTTTCTTTCAATTCTTGCTAGTTACAAAACTGAAGAAATATAACTTATTTTTATTCTTCAATTCAAAATTTCATATTCATATTTGATTTATGTATGCATGTACGTATGAATTACACAATTCTATGGCTCCATAATGTTAAATATTTTACAAAGTTTGTGATTCCAAAACTGAGTATCCTTTTAGTGCACAGAGAGAATCACTACATCACCACTGAAAGATATCTAATAATCTGTAATAGAATTTGTTTTGATAAATCCCAAGAATAATATAGACCTTTCAACGATAAACTGAACAACATAAGGAAGAAATCATACAATACATTGTTAACTTGGAATGAATTACCACATCTTTAGCTCTCAATTTCCTTGCCCAAGCATTCATAGCATAAGGATCATTAACGAACACACAAATGACAGAGTCGATTCCTTTAGCCTTGAACTTATCAATGTTCATCGTGTAACTAGGCACGTGCTGTTGTGAACAAACACCTTCGTATGCTCCCTATACAGAATCCCAAATACAGTATAAATCCAAGTTTTCATCGAATTCCCATTCCAGATAATAATGTTAGAAATAACAAACTAAACAGATCTACACTCCACTTTCCTTTTTGATTTTTTGCTTGATTTGTTAAATTGGGTTTGAACTTTGCTCTTTAAAATACGAAAATCATGCGTATTATATAATCCAGACTTTGACCCTAATATGATGGTATGCCTCGAATCTAATGTTCTTGTTGCTCTGAAAACTTGAATCATTCTTTTGTATCTTACGGTTATGTGAGTTGTTTTCATAGGTAAATTTCTTTCATGGCTCCAATAATAGGTTTGGTATCTACTGTGATAGATTTTTGGTAACAATTTTGTAGTGCCTTTGACAAGTTAGTTAAAATTCTATGGATAATCTTTATTGAAGCTGCAATATGATTTTTATGACTTGCTCGAAAATTAGAAGTTTTTGGAGGAAAACTGATGTGCAGGGAGGATGTGTGTTAAAAGCATTCTATGAGAATATAAACAATCTCAATAATGGTACACCAGGCTGTGGGGAGTCTTTAGCGATTTCGATTGCAGCGTTGGAGTTGGAGTGGTGTTGTGGTAATTGAGATTGATTCAAATATCAAGATGTGTATGTTAATGTGAGTTTTTACAATCGACGGTTATCTAATGCTTTGAAATCGTGTTGAGATGATGGTGTGTTTACTGATGAATCGAGCTATATTCTTCAAGGTTAGCAAACATTCTTGTTGATTATCATATTCGAGTTGGACACTTTCATCAGACACATATTTGGACATGAATATGGGATCATGATCATCCAAACATATGTAAAAACTTGAAAGAAATATTTGGGGAATAGCATACTTCATATTCGACACTCAATTGGAATTTCAGGTAACTTAGAATGTGCCAACCACTAATCCAAATGCAAGAGTTCATCTAGGGACGAATGCAGGATTTTATGCGAGTGAGTGGACTTATAAGATTTTAGAGGGAGAAAATAAATTATCATTAAAAAATACAAAGAGAATATCTAAAATACATGAGAACTTGAAATTTTCAAGAGGACGACTACCTCCATTTACCCCGACCTTGGGTTCATCCATATTCTTCTTTAGATTCTAGTAAACTATATTTTTTATTTAAAATATCGTAAAATATTTCTTTCAAAATTTCATTTTGTAAACAAACTATTTAATCCACTGATATTTTCAGCATTATAGATACGTATCTGGGATGTCCCATGTTGAAAGGATATGACTATAATTAGTTGGGTACATCGGAGGGATTTCCAGGGACGAGGAGTAAAGTTCACACACGTACCCATATTATTTTCAAGATTTAACTTATAAAATAATAACGATAATTTTGAATAAGATTAATATATTAGATGGGATCGTTTCAAGTCTGTTCTGCAAAACTTGCCGGTTAGCTTCATGTCTCTCTTCCAATTGCCTAAAGGGGTGGCTAACGCCCTTAACAATCTCATCGCCAAATTCTGTTGGGGTTCATGTAATGGAAAAGGTATTCATTGGATAAAGTGTGAACAACTATGTAAATCAAAGAAGTATGGTGGGTTGATATTCTTTGATCTTAAGGTAAGAAATAGGTCCCTACTAAACAAATGAGTGTGGAGATTCGGTAGAGAATCAAATTATCTATGGAGAAAGGTAATCGGTGAGAAATATGGGTACAATCATCACGCTTTACTTCCTTATGCCCCTCTTGGCAGGAAGTACTCGTGGATTTGGCGAAACATAACCCGTCCTCTTTCTAATCCGGTGGATATCTCTATGAAAAACATCGGTCATGTCATCGGTGATAGAAAACATATTGATTTCTAGAATGAAACCCTCGACTGATGTTGATTCCCTCAGAGTTTCGTTTCCCCACTTTTTTTGTTTAGCTCTAAAAAAATCTGGTAATGTCCATGAATTTGGGATCAAGTCAAACGGGTTTTGGCAGTGGAATATAGAGATTCGAAGGCCGCTCTTTCAGTGGAATTTTTTTTTATGGAAGAACTTTTTTGGAACCTTAAACATGGCCTCTTTTTGGCAAACAAATCAATAAAACCGTGTGGAAAGCCTCATCTGTAGGGTTGTACTATCCAAAGCTCTTTTGTGATCTGTCCCCATCGTTTGGTATACAGGAAGACCCAAGCTGGAAGCTCCTAAAGTCGAATCCTTCGTATGGAAAGCGGTCCATGGGTGAATCCCTACCTCTGTTGAACTCGCAAAGCATGGTGTTGTTGCGTGTAAACTCCCTCTGCGTTTTCTGCTCCAAATAGGCCGAATCAATTAGTCACCTTATCTTGCACTGCCTTTTCCCATGGAACATTTGGTCAAAGTGGTGCAGATATGGGATTTCTTTTAGTGGTCACAAGGAATTTATATTCCATCATAACAATTTGGATGAATTTTCCTGTCAAGCCTTCTTGGAAACCGGTTTGGTCTCTAGATTTTGTTGGTTTCCTCTGGATAATTTAGTTGTGCAGGAACGAAACAATTTTTAATAGTAAAAAGTTCACAGCTGATCAGGTTTTCGACCTCGCTCTTATGCGGATCGGTTTTTGGGTAAAAAGTAAATGGCCCGTTCATGCCTTTCTGTATTAGATTTCACTCGAAACCCTCAAGATGTTCGAATTCTTAAAACTCCCTCTCGTAAATCTGCTCATTTTTAATGGATTGCTCTGTTTGTTTCTCACCAAGCGTTTTTTGTATACGGTGTTGCAGCTTCTGACGCAAGACAGGATAGCGATTATCCTGTAGGTTGGTTCCAACAGATGATTTACAAGAGAAAATTCACCAAAAACCAGAAAAAACAAGTCTCTAGGGTTTAACGAAATATTATAAAATCAAACAATGCAAAAATCAGTCCACAAGCCGGACTGTTATAGCCAAAAATCATGTTTATCCGAATTTTACCAAAAATAGCAAAATCCCGAAAATCACTCTAAACTGAAATTTGAAATAAAATAAACAATATGCAAAAAACATCCGGCCCAAATTGGATTTAAATTAACTTCCTAATTGACAAGCGAAATATTACCATAAATAGTATAAAAAAAACTAGTGATTCGGAGGGGAAAACGATAGAATTTGAGGTTGAAAAAAGGTCAAATAGAGCCATGCTCATGTGGACAGCGTGCGCGTCAAAAGGGGCTTTCTTAATTGGGGTCTTATGCGCGATTCCGACACCCGTAGCCAAAGTTATGGCCAAAAAACTGAAACGTACTCAAAACGGCCCCAATGAGGAACATATCACAATCAACTCCTGCCTTTGCACTGATCTGCCAACTCATGGTATCTCAGCACCATCAAGGTGCAATCTGACAACTCAGCATCATCTGCCTCGGATCCCCCTGCATCAGGTTCCCTAGTTGCAGGTGTCGAGTATTCTTTTTTTTTAAGGTAAGAAAAGAAAAAGAGTTTGTCAAACTTTTTGTTCTAATCGGGTGCTTTCAACTGTTTTGTCTCAAGTGACATCTTTGTTTACTTTGCAGTGAACGTTTTCGGGCGTTATTTTTTTTTGTTTACTATTGGATACTTTTTTTCCCCTAATAGGTTTAAAAATAATAGGTTAACGATTATGTAGTGGATTAATAAAGATTAATTGTAATACCCTAATTTCGCCCGAGTTAACAATCTTGACAGAACATTGGCCTCAACACATGCTAGTAGCACTACATCAAGTCAAAAGCCCGTTGTTCCCCTTTCTATCTCCAATATACGTTGTATCAAATACAAGCTCATCTCCCCAACATCAATCAATATTCAAGAAGATGAAGCGTTTGAGAATTTGTCCTTTCTCATTCGTGCAAACTGTTGCACCAAGCAGTATTGGCAGAAGTAAATGAGGAGTAATATATCAGCAACAGTAAAACAAAACAAAGGGAGAGCATTCATAAAAAATATTTTGGAGAGAAGAAAAAAAAGGACATCAAAAAATCTAGAGAAAAATCCTCAGTCTTTTTTTTCCATCAACAGAGAGCATTATAACGAAGAGCAGAGAAAAAAGAGAGGATCCTTATTTTTTTCCGAACGTAGCAACCAAAGAAACCAAAAAATGAAAGAAAGATGAGAGGAAGAGAAAGATACTCCCTTTAGCTTCGGAGGAACCCACGAATGTCGGAGTAAAGAGATTCGAATCGTCACCTGTAGATCTACGCCAATACAATCTCCATTCAAGCATACGAGCCTCGGATCTACACTTAAGAGGGTAAGAGCTCACTATTTAACTAATTTTCTTTAACCTTTTGTCATCGACGAGCGGTGGTCGATCACCTTTTCCTTTCTTCTGCTCCATAGATGACGAGGGAGAGGAGAGAAATTTGGGGAGTTATTTCTCATTTTTGTTTATGAAAAAAATGAAAGAAATGGATTTCAAAGCCAAACAGAGGCCCGTACTTCTTTGAAAATTTATGGGCAAATTATCGTTAGAGCCCTTTCACTATTATCGTGTTTTTCTATAATGGTCATGATAAGTGCTTATTTTAGTTAATATTTTACTTTTAAATTACTCTTTAATCATTGATTTTTTGGCTTATTTGTTTATTTTAATTCATTTTCTGTATAGGACGCAAGATTTTAGAAATTGCACAAAAAGGACACAGTTCTGCAGATTTTTTATTTTCGGTATCAAAGCTGGCTGGAATTCAGATTTGAATTAAACTTAAGTTTAGGATAATATTTTAAACATTATGTTATCTTTCTATTTTAGTTTAAATAGGTTTTAGTATTTTAATTAAGTTTTAGGATATTTTTTTTATATTTTATCTTTGTTTTAGGTATTTTAGTTTAAATAGGTTTTAGTATTTTAATTAGGATTTAGAATATTATATTATTTTTTTAGGTAATTTAGTTTAAATAGTTTTAAGTGTTTTAATTATGATTTAAGATGTTTTAGCTTGCTTTTAGGAATTTGAAGGATATAAATACCCTTTAAGGGTGAGCCTAGAAACATATCTCTCTCATTTGATAATAAA